ATTGCGATGTTTATTTTGATACAAAATCCTGATAATAAATCGATTATAGAATTCCGCAAAGGTAAAAAATCTATTTCTGTTCGAGACAGCGAAAAGGGAACAAAAGGTGGATTGATATTGCGACACAGTTTTAAAATGATTTTCTCGGAGATTTCGTGTTCGGAAACTACATTTTTTATTTTTATTCCTTTACCAAAGGATGGATGTTAACCCTTATCAATTTTGGCGGAAGCTGAAAGCTTTTAGCTTCCCGGACCCGGTGGATTCAAACGGAACACGAACGTCAGTCCGACCGTTTGTCCGTTTCTTCTAAAATGTCTATCATTGCGTCGGGCACGTGAATAACAGTTTTGTATTATTGATATTATTGGTCAAATTAAATAATTTTATATTAAGAATGAGAATTAGATTTTGATTACAATTTCATGTAGGCTGGAGCGGGTTTAAAAGTCTACCACCATTACCTCAAAAACTAGTTAGTATTGGTATTTTGTCTTGAGGCAAGTTACATGAACTTTCCGATGTATTTAAATAATCGACTTAATCAATAAAAAATAAATTAATTTATGAGTGATTAAAAGTAATCCGAGTGGATTTATTACACATTATATCTTTTGAAAAGCAAATTTTCAAAAATCAATAATTTTTATAATTGAATGGTTTAGTATATTCATTAAGACGTTGTACTCTATCGTTATACCAAGTAAATCGTCTTATTTTAATTTTAACAAACATCAAAGAAACTACTCATTTCTTCAAACCTTGATAATTTTTTAAAATTAAACTACTTGTCGTAAGGTCGTAATATTTCAGTAAGTTCTGTAAGACTATGATATATATGGAGAAAAAAATCCATAAAAATCGGCTTAATTTTTTTTTCAACAGTTAATTACAAGAAAACGGCTCGGTAGATTTTCACCTAAAACTAATCAGTATCATTCTCAATTAATATCTTTCGAACAGTTTCTGATTTTTGAAATAGATTCGGTAGTATGAGCTTAAATGTGGACGAAAAGTTTAACAGTTTTTTCCAAACTACAAAGAAACGGCTCGGCCGATCGGCGCTCAAAACTGAATGTGCAAACGTGAATGGAAGGTCTAATTTTGACAAATGAGAAAACGATACCCATTTTTGCAAACTTCGAAGAATTGTGTATGTTGTGTAAATTATGGTGTATACAGTCCAAAAAAGAACCATAAAAATCGTCGAAAAAAATTTTTTTACCCTTTATTACAAGAAAACGGCCTGGCCATTTAGTCAATCTTTGGCCAATTATAGATAAAAAATAACAATAATATATGATTAGTGAAAAATGCACAGTTGCATTTTTCCTTAGAAAAAAATATGTATAACCAGCCATCGTAGTTAAGTGGTTAAATCTTTCGACGTCGCAACCAGGAGGTCATGTGTCAGTATTTATAATTAAATAATTTTTACTTTTGTAGTTTTTTTTTTATTTTGAATGTTGTTATTTAGTTTTTGATACCTGAATATATATTTTATACGTATACGTTATTTGTTATAAAGTGTATTATTATGTTTTAAGTTAAATTCAAATTTTTTTATATGATTTCTACATAAGCTTATTCGTGGTAAAAAGAATCATTTGAACCTTTACGCTGGCATAGGTGTGAACAATATGAAAATTGTTTCTATACATATTTCAATAATTGGAAATAACTAAAAATATTACTGAGCATAGCTCGATAGTTGTTTGTTTGTTACGTGTTAGTGTTGTGATGTAGTTCATTTGGTTAAGAATAATTACTGAAAGTCAAATTGGACCTTTGTGTCCCGCCCTATCTTATATGAAATTTGAGAATAAGGAAATAAGGGTAAGTTGTAAGTTGCAAGTTCTAGAAGGTTGTGGAATTATCTCTACTTGAATTAGTAGAAGAATAGTTAAAGTAACTATCTATCTTTATTTCGTAGAAATATAATCAGTGGATATCAAGATATATCAATTTAAAAAATGTTAAAACAAACCCTTAGCTCGCTTATACCTTATATTTGTAATAAGTAGATAGTATACAAATATGATAGAAAATTATAGAAAACAATAGGATTATATAGAAATCTGCAGTACTTTATATTAAATTATAAAAATATAACCATATTTAATTAAATCATAGGCTGTATAATTGAAATATATAAAAACCTTAAACTTAAATTTATAGCTGTTTCTGTGCCGCACTATTATTGGTTAAATTGATTATAAACCTAATTTATAAAATGTACATAATTTTATCCATATAATGATTTCTAGACATATAGGACAATATTATATTGAAATCTACAGAAGCGTAAAAATCAATTATAATCATGGTGGTCTATACAAATGTTTCTTTTTTTTCAATTCATTGAAGATATTTACATTTATAAACATTTATTATTGTCTACAGTAGACAATAAAAGTATATATAAATTACATATAAATCTTGCAATATATATGTAAACCTATAAGATTGTGTAGAAGACTTTAAAAGTTTAAATAAACTTACAAACTTCTATAAACTGGTAATATGTGTAGAAAATAAAATACAGATAACATTGTTTTCAATACGAAAAAATATAAAATTGTACAGACATCTACGTATTGTGTATTTTCGTATTTAAGGACAGTATTTTAGTACAGAAATATTGGAATTACCATTTAATTTGCTTTACTCCCAACTAACTGGTAAATTAATAAAATTGTAGCTAATCAAAAAAAGCGGCACAACCGTGCCTAGGATATTCTACCTTAATAATAGGTCGCCTTCATTGCTTTTCTTTTAAACTAAAAAAAAATTATTTAAGTGTTTGAAATATGGGTCACTAATTGTCAAAAACGGCATTGCTAAACTGTGTTATTATTAATTAAAGGACTTTGTATATATTATATATCTTGAAGATACCTTCCAGACATCTACTTGACTTGATCGTTTTATAAATTGTGCCGCGATTTTTCGGAGTGGGTAATTTTGTTCGCTCTTTAGGCAAAATGCCAGACACCCCTTGCTTTTACGAACTGTGATGTGCGGAAAGCCGAGGGAAAAATGACATATATTTTCCATAAGGAAGAAAATTGGCTTTGCTCCCTCTATAAGTGTTCATTTTTCAACGTTTTAAAAGTTACGTGCAAATAGATTTTATCAAGACCAAGCTGTAAAAGCATATGTAACGGAATAATCAAATTGTTGTTTTGAATTAAAATTGAATTAGTGGTGCATGGCATCGTGCCTTGAGACAAATTGCTGGAACTTCCCGTACCATAAATTAAAATTTTTGAAAAAGATTCAATTTTTTTCAAAACTTTGGAAAAATTCGATTTTTGAGCATTTTGAAATTTTTTAAATAAATTCACCGTATTGAAAAAAAAAAATTTTTTTTCAGAAATATTTTAGAAATTTTGAACTTTTTTTAAAGCAATCGCGATGCGTTAGCTTCGTAGAAAGGAAATAGCAAAGCGCGTAGGGAATCCATAGAAATGTAAACAAAAGTACTTATTTTTAAAATCCTTATGAACTTCTAAAATATCTAATTCTGATTTGTTGTGCATATGTCGAATGATCATTTTTGACCGCCGAAGGAATTTTTTTTTTGTTTTTTTAGTGGATCTTCGAAACCGCTAGACCTGCGTTCTGAAAAACAAGTTCCTCATTTCGTCAATAAAATAACGTTTTTTGAATCATTCAAATCGGACGCTCTGTTCTCTCAAAAACTGAAATATCATTTTTCGCTATTTTTGCCCCATATCTTCGAAACGGCTACCCTGTCTACAAAAAACTAATCAAAATCGTATTTTTAATTATTCAAATTGGCTGATTTGCGTTCTCGAAATCGTCGACAAATATTTGTATTCGAACACACACATACATCCATTTTTTCTATGGTATGCCAATATGTTCAGAAATTTCTGAAACGAGCGATATATAAAAATTTTCATTTTCGATTTTTTGCGATTACTATAACTTACCCAACGGGAAGTTAAAAATTTAAAAATCTTATCACCTATTCATTTTACTATTTTTACAGATAAAAATATAGGATTGCAAATTGATTAAACTGGCCGATATATCAAAAGATCTAACCATCATAAAATACAATTATTTAAACATTTAAATATCAATAAATTTCATAAAAGCAAAACATCAAATAATTAAAAATTGATATTGAAATACCTAAAAATAAAATGTGTTCTGAAGTTTCAACTTTTAAAAAAAAATGTATATAGAATATATTTTTAACAAAATTTTTAAAGTTTCGAAACGTCAAAAAAAAAAAATCTCAAAAATTTCAATTTAATCAAATCTTAAATACGAATAATTAAAATTGAAAATAGAGTAAAGCGGTGCTTAAAAGGCTGCTAGTAAAAGGCCCACTACTATTATCTTAAAAACTATGTATGTATGGATTTTTTTGGGGATACTATTTTAAAGAATAGGGCAAAAAATGTGCAACCATTTAAAAGGCCACATTGTAAATTTTTCAACGAAAGTATTTTATTTTGTTGTTCATTTTAGTTTTGAGCACTGTTGTTTAGTTTACGCTACCTGAACATAATTTTTAAGAATATACTATTCAATTTAGAATATATTATATGCAGTTGGGGTAAAAAGAACCAACCTTTCATTCGCGCAAGACGTAAACGATAAGAAAATAGTAAATATAGAAGTAAAATGAGTTAATATTTATTTCAACTCTAATGTTGAATTCTTTTAATGATATTACTTAATAAGGTTGTATGGAGTGTGATCTTTGTAAATTGGACTTCTGTGCCCCTCTCTACCCTATCCAAAAATTCAGTTATCAAAAATTTAAAGATTGGAAAAAATTAGGTTTTTAGAACTATGAGAATGAGTTGACTAACGAGAATAATTAATCATGTATACAGAAAATTTAAATAAATATAAAAAGACATAAATATATTAAAAATTAAAAATATTATTATTAAAAAGCGCCTATATGTAATTATATTTGTTCTGTATAATAATCATTATTATTTCTTTTCAGGTGCGAACACTTTTTGTCAGTGGATTGCCAATGGACGCAAAACCCAGAGAACTATATCTATTATTCAGGGCCTATGAGGTAAAAGCTAATACCAGAATGTTTATTATGTTAATAACATTTTAACCGATTTAAAAATATGTTTTAATTGAATATTTTCAGGGTTATGAAGGATCACTCTTGAAAGTTACAAGCAAAAATGGCAAAACGGCATCGGTAAGAAATAATTTTATGCTGAAGTAATTGATATGATTTTTTTTTAAAAATTCAGCAGAATTTTAACTAGTTCAATTAACATCAATTTCTTATATTATTCTAAAACTTGCTTATTTTATTCAAATATCGGCCCACTAAATCTCAAAGAATCGTCCAATCATCTGCTATATTATTATTTTTGTCAATATTAGTAATTTTATTTGGAATATATAATTTTTATTTATCAATAATACATCTCATCAAGTTTATTATAGAAATTTATCTATATATATTTTTTCGAAATTTTAATTTTAAATGTTCAAGTAATGCACAAAATTTTAAAACTAAATTTGGAGTTTGTAATATTAATAATCAGGTAAATGTTTTAAAAACAAAAATGTTTTGAGGTAAAAGCTTTGTTGGCTTGATTATTATACGATGAGCTTTTTTATTTACTAAACTATTTAAATTGTTAGTTTATTTTTATTACTAATTTTCAATAAACGGAAACTTGATATATTATGAAATATTTTATTTTATCATGGAAATATTATACAAAACTCGTTGCAGTATTTTGGAATATTAAAAAATTAATTTTTTCTTCATAAAAATCAAAATTGCAGTCTGTGTGATTTTTCCATGAATAAAGTTTCGACAAAACTGTTTTATTTTATGGGCTTTTTAAAGGTAAAGAAAAAAGACTTATTGTGAACTGTAATTTTGGTAGTCGTTTAATCTACAAGTCGCAACGTTTCTAATGACTTTGTTGACATTTTTGATAAAAAACGTTATTAATAATTCATGTATTACAAAACTAACATAATTTTTTCACAGCCCGTTGGTTTCGTGACATTTCACACACGCGCTGGCGCCGAAGCAGCTAAACAAGATTTACAGGTATCTAAAGTAAACTTAAATTTAACTTATTAAATTAAATATAACAATTAATAATCTATATTTTATTCGGTTTATTGACGACAGTGTTTTGTGTGCTTAGGTGTAAATAAGAACTACATATGTAAGGATTGCTTGTTTCAATTATGCAATAGTTTGACTTTTCAAGCCAATAGCGTTTAAATTAGTATATATGTACAGATAAGATTCAGCTCATAGAACCCATAAGTTCTGATCGCTGTTTAAATAAAATTATAAGAAAAAAAAAGTATAGATAAGGTGACCATACATTCCGGTTTGGCCGGGACGGTCCCGGATTTGCACCTTGTGTCCCGAGTTTCCGGATATTAAAAAATATAGGTTTGAACTATATTTTCGCAATTACATGATAATCAAAATTACAAATATCCTTCAAATGTCTGAAAATGATGTAAACAACAATTGGTTATGAATGGGAAAATTTTCGAATGCAAAACACCAAAGTGTTAAAATAGAATCTCACATTGATAATTTCGGACTTCTTTTTTCAAATTTTACGAGAATTATCAATTTTTGTCTTCCATTTTCAATTTTTCGAAAATTAGTTACTCCCTCGTCCTGTCCCGGATTAGCTCAACTACCAAGTTGCTGTCCCGGCCTACAAAAATATGATCACCTTACTACAGATCATATATACTAATTGTTTTATTTCGTTATCAACAACAAATCTATAGGGCAAAAATTCATTTGATGAAAACAGCAATAGCGCGCTGTTTTTGTACTTCGCAGGATTTGAATTATTGCTTACTATTGCTTCAAATAAATTGGTTGTATTCTTTGGACTTACAGGAGAAGTACGGACAAAATGACATAATGTTTTATTTTTTGATGATATTTGTTTAACAATATTATAATCAGTCCCTGTTGTTTTTACTCACCAATGACGCTCAACATCGGACAGGATTGTTGTTATGACTCTCTCAACACTATACAGTTGCGGAAACGTTACTAAAACTAACCGATTTTTAAATAAGGCCACTTTGCCATTTTTTTATATATGCCATTATGTCCGTATTTCCTCTAAACGTCGTCAAAACTTCTCTTGCGCTGTTGTGCATCATCTATAATGATTTCAACCTTAAATCATCAGCAGATGATACATAACAGTGAAAGGAGACCTATTAGAACTAGAAGCAGGACCCAAATACTCTAAATTATCTTTTCTGCTAAATATTACTGTTTTAGGAGGTGAGACTTGGCATCTCTCTGCAACTTTCACATATCAATTAATCCATAGATATAAAAGTGATATATTTAACTAGTTGTGTGATTTTTATTGGATTATGTTGGGCACAGAGAACACAAAGAATTAAGTTTTTTTTGAACTGTTTCTTCACATCTTTGTAAATATATTGAAAATATATTGACTTTTTGCATGCACATATTTGAGTGAAGCTTGTGCTATATGCTGCTATTGCTCACACTAAGTTGACTCAATAACTATGTTTGTAGAAAACTTTTTATTAATTGAAATTTGAAAAACTGTCCTGGAAAACAGTTAATCATTAAAATATTGAAGAATAATCGTTTCATCAATCTCAATGTTTTGCTCAAATGCTGCTTACCAGTTATGCTCCTGCAAATAGTTTTATGAAACAACAATGTTTTAATGTGCTATTAAAAATTTTATTTACGGCCAAATATTTAAAACAGTTAGAAATCATTTGAGGAATGTAAAATTTAAATATAATTTTGTTACAAAACTGCACAGTTTAAACCCTGATAAAAATATATTTTTATAAGATATGAGAATTAAAATCCCTAAAGTCTTTATACACTTAGAAAGCAAAATACATGGTTAGAGATACAAAAGTTTTTAATTTGTTTTTAATAGTTGCGCATGTTCTATTATGGAACATCAGCAATTGTCTGGTACTACTTAGAATGTCTAAATCGAATGCCAATTCAGTGATTAATTTTCTAGCATGAAAAATGAAAAAGTGATCTTTTTTACCTTCCTGAAGGAGAAGATTGTGATTTCAACAGAAAATTCGATTTGCTCGATCTCGAATCCAATTTTATGCTTAAGTGAGCCAAAATTAGACCTATCGTTGACAATGTTGTAAAAAATTGGTTAAATTGTAAAAATGCATTAGAGGTTGAAATAGTATATTTAGGCTGTTTTGAACATAAAACATATATAATATCAATTGGAATTTCCATTGATTAGTATTTAATAAGAAGTGAAACCTTTTTAAACCGTTGAAAACAATTGAAAATTTTATCGTCACAAATGTTGATATTGATTATTTACATATATCGGTAAGTTCATTCAACTTGCTGTAAGGTAAAAAAACCACTTACATTTAGTTCAGTTTAGTAAACGATTTTTGCACCAATAAATGGGTTATATACGATCTAGATATCATTTATTGTCAAATAGTGCAAAACCACATATAAACGTTGATTTCAACATATCACAAAGCCGACCATCTATATTTATGTATGTTGAAGATGTAATATTCAAAGACTGTCATATATATTTAAAACCAAACATAAAATTAAAATTAAAATATATTTGAAGTGCACTTGTGATGAAAAAGCAGTAGTAATTTAAACAATCTGGTTTTTAGTCTTAAATTTTTCGATCTATATGAATCAGTTGCAGACTTTATCTAAATTGCACCAATTTGCATCTAATAGTACTCATTTTTCATTTAAACGAACACAAAAGCGTATTAGATGTTTTTAATACAAGGACAGGTAACTCAAACAAATAACAACTGTTCATTGTATCTCATTATAATTTCTCGTGATTTATGAAAAATGATCCGATATGAAAAAGAGTTTCATCCGTTGAGAACGATTGTTCCAGATAATTGGATATAATTCTCAGGGATTCTTAAAAGTTTCATTAAAGAGGCAAAAAAATGTTTAATATTTAGTTGCGGAGAAATGGCCTGGACAAAAGATTATCAAAAACTAATTTAGATAAATAATAACCAGTGGTGTTGTCGAGCCGGAACGCGCCGGAACGTCGTTCCGGCAAATCATTTTTGGGCCGAAACGCGTTCCGGCAAAAAACTATTTTTCAAAAATCGCTACATACAGAAAATGATTTAATAAGTGAATTTTGTAAATTATAATTCAACTCATTTTTTTTAAATGTTTCTATTATTGTAATAAACATACATATTTGTGCACAAAGTGGGTTTTTCGGAACCGGAACAAATATGAGAACCGGTTTTGAACCGGTTAATAAACCGGTTTTCAAATTTTAGCGTTCCGGCAAAAAAAATATTAGCACTACACCGCTGATAATAACTTATATGTTTTAAAAGTTATCTTTTTGAGTTTTGCCAAAAAATATACACTTAGCTAATTATAAAGAATCTTCTAGGCCAATCGTTGCGCAAAACTGATCGAGTTTTAAGCTCTTTCTAAGAAAACGTCGACCAAGATCAAATTTTTGTTGACATACACAAATTTGTCAAATTTGTCTAACAATTTCAAGTTGTCTAGCAATTCAGAATGACTAAACATCGAGGAATCATTAAATGAGCAAATCGAATTTTCTGTCGAAAACATAATCTTCAGCAAGTTAAACATTCTTAATTTCGAATATAATGAGTCACATGAGTGAAGTGGAGTCTAGAAGCCAAGTTGAAAATAAATACATGGAATATTTAAGTAACAAGACATAAATTAATTACGGTGTAACTTTTCTGAAGCATTTAACTGGACCTATATAATTATTTAATTATAAAATATCCTAAGAGTAATCACAATGTAATTTAAAATGTTTTACTGGATAAATATAACTATTTTAGATACGTCAATAAGTTTTTAGAGTTATTTTGGCAAATGTAATTTGAGTTAAAACATTGAGATTGCGTTAAAATTTGAAAATATAGTGGCCATTTCTCGGATAAAATAATTATGCTATGTTACCGATCTTTATTGTTGAATAATCGCAGGAGTTAGTATTTCGGATCTGTCAAAAAGCTATGTCTTTGCTGTTTGATCGAGTATTTTACATAATATTAACCCTTTCAACTCGCGAATTTCGGAATTAGTATGTATTTTGCATCCGAGTCGAAAGGGTTAACTTTTGAAACCTAACCTTAAAATACAAAAATAATTTAGGCTTTACGTTTGTGATATTATAAGCGACCACAAATTGTTGCACTTATGTTAACATTGTTATTTGACTTTTGTGCTATTTGGAGGTTAGGTTTTAGAAATCGATTACAATCGCTCGATTATGCATCAAATACATAGTGTTTGACTGCAAATTATGCGAATATTCAATAAAAAAAACTGGCAAAATAACATAACTATTTTATCTCGAGTATTGGCGCCAGATTTTTTTATGATGAATATTATGTTAGTAAAAGTGGCAGTACATCATTTTTTACTCTATGATTGTATTGGTTGAAAGCTACCCCAGTCAAATTAAAGCATCGTAAGTTTGCTTAAATTGGTACAGATGTTAAATAAGCCATTACAAATAAAATATCAAAACGGATCGATGGGGATGATCCGACATCTGTGATTTTTTTATTCAAGTTCAAGGGTACAAAATTCTGGTTTTTCTCATTTTCCGCGAAAACTATAAGAGTAACCAAAAAATGTGTTAGATAGAAATATTTTTTATAATTTTTTTTATAAATTTGTATTTACAATTTTTTTATAGAAGTCGCCGTTTGTGAGATATAGCCATCTGAAAAATTGAAAATTTATATTCTTCATAATATGCCGGTTTTATACGTCATCGAATGTGTAATATAAATAAAGATTAAAACTCTATGTGTTTGTATATAGATAGTATATATTTCTATCTGACTTTTGAAGTATCAAACTATAGTATCAGCCTCTAATTACTTCCCCCGTAGAACAACACCCGCCGATTCTTAAAAAATCGATGATTTAATGTAGATAATTTGAAATTTATATGTACCTACAACTATTTGGTCTAGGTCAAGATTACAATTGGAACCGTAATTTTTTTTTGACATTTTGGATCAACCTTATATACAAATTAATTCGTCTCTTGGCTTGTGTGCATCATAAAATGATATAATGATGTATGAGGCAGCAGCAGTTCATCTCATATGTTGCCATCAGAAACTGGCACATTTATTCAATATGATGATATAAATGTACAAATTTTGGTCGATCATAACGCGCCTTGCCTTGATATATACATAATTATTTCGTTAACTTTAAAAGCAATCAGTTATGGGATCTCTCTCTAAAATGACCTGGCGGGTGTTGGTCTACGGAGGAGGAAATTAGGGGCTGATACTATAGTTTGATACTTCAATAGACTCAATAAATGTATACTATATATGCAAGTCAATGTAGTCTTATTTTTTATTTATATTACATATTCGATGACTTCTTATGAAGAATATAATGAAGAATATAAACTTTTCAACTTTTCAAATTAGAGCGCGCGCTATATGGATTCGAGTATGCATTATATGAGGACGGCCAACTCCCATCAGATTCTTTTGTCTGAGATGCCAAAATAAAGAGAAAATCCATGTTGCCACCTTAATATATATTAATATTTATTACCTGCACCGACAGGTTTAGCGATATTCTTTAAATAATACATTGATATATAAGTAAATCTAAACAAAATTCTATTATATGATGTGAATACCATAAAAGTACCTACAACATTATTAGTTTTATACTGGCTACGTCAATCCCTAAGACGCACGGAGGCATGGGTAAAGTAAAAAGTGGGGTACAGGAAAATTCGACCAACACCGAAGTTGGCAACATGGGTTATCTCTTTATTTGGCATCTCAGGTAAAAGATCTGAAGAGAGTGGGTGGTCCTCATATTATGCATACTTGATGCCCTCCCTACAGCGCCTTGACTAAAAAGCTATGCCTCACAAACGGTGATTCCAATTTAAAAAAATGTGAATATAAATTTGTGAAAAATTATATAAAAAATATTTCTATGTGACACATTTTTTGGATAGTTCTTCTAGTTTCCGCGGAAAATGAGGAAAACTAGAATTTTGTACCTTTCTCGGATCGATGGGGACTTTTGACATTTTATTTGTAATTGCCTATTTAACAGCTGTACCAATTTTTAGCTCTATGCGAATTAATGCAAACTGAAAATCTAATTTGACTGGGGTAAGCGTTTTGTAAAGTATTCATCAAACAATTACCGAATCGACTTGTTTTGTTCGGGATCTCTTAGATTTCGCTGAACGTGTGGTAAGATAATTGAGCAATCTTAATCGTCAGAGTAGTCGTATCGATTATTTTTAATTTAGTATCGATTGCATGGCCAATAATGCAGGTCGTTTGATATTTCTATCATTCAGCAGGGTGTCAGGTTCGATCCAGACATGCCGCAGACAATCCGCCTCGAGTTTGCGAAGAGCAACACTAAAGTCAGCAAACCGAAATCTCAGCCGACAGTCGCCACCACAGCGGCTGCACACCCAGCACTAATGCACCCACTTACTGGCCGTGAGTTTTACTGTACTCTGTATTTATTATTTTATTAGCATTCGCACTAGCATTAAATATTCTCTACTATCACTTTTTGCAAGCAAATCAGGCCAAGGACATTTTACTATTATGTACAGTAGAGTGCATTTGTAAATATTGACACATTCACGCAGATGATGAGATGAATCCGACCAAAAATTCCACTCGTTTATCATTATATATTATATCATTATCTGGCCGTTTTACTAATTAGTACACCAGACGTGTTTATGGGTGATCTATAGAAACTTATGGAAATCCATGGATATATATAGCAATTTATATTAATATATAACAGTCCTTAGAAATTTATAGAAATTTTTAATATATATCGCTAAAATATATAGCAATCGTCGAAAGATCGTCACTATGCTGAATCGTACTTCTAAAATTTTATATAGAGTTATATGAGTCATTTATTATGGTTTGAGAATAAAGTGTTAAAAACTAGTTTTTAATGTATAAATTACCGCCACTGGTGTAAAACCGCACTGTAAATTCCATGTTTATAATTACATATTTATTACCAAAGTGTTTAAAATCAGCAATCGAATTTAGTTCTACAACACGAGTTGGAAGCGAGACCAAATATTACAATTTTTTTCAGTACTACAGTCATAATTATTATTATTAGTTATCAATTGGGCATTAAAGCTTATACAATTATGTTCATCGTTTCGTAAAATTTTTATATCAAAAACAAGTTCAATTATGTAAAATCAAAAAAAAAAATGCATTCTGGTCGTCAAGATTTGGATTTTTAAGGCTTTTAATTTACGTTTTTCTGCAAAAAATATGGAATCCAATTTTTTGTTGTTGCTAAGATTTTCATTTAAAATGCCTCATCTTTAGACTCTATATGATGGCTGAGGGTGGGTTATTATATAATTTTCGATTATTATAAAATTTATAAGACTATTTAAAGGAATAGAATTCGGATAGCTCCATATCCTAACATATATATACATATATATATATATATATATATATATATATATATATAATATATATATATATATATATATATATATAAATTAGGGTTGACTTTCATATGGATATTTTCGCACTTCTTTGCACCCAAGGGCCCAAATGCTTCCAAATTGATAAATAAAAAAATCTTTGAAAGTTTTACGTCTTAATATTAACTTTAATATAGTCCTTACTCCAATTAAAATTTCTTGGTTTTTCTTTCTAAGTAAATACTTATTTTATTTTAATATATCTAATTTTTGTAGTATTTTTTTATTTATGATTAATTTAAGCAAATTCAACGTTATTCTCAAAATTTTAATACACATTAAACTATGAAATTCTGAAAAATTAATGAAATTTTACTCATGTCATTTCCATAGGTAACTTCGGTTAGAGTGCGGTCTATCTTAAACTTAATATTGAGAGCTTAAATTTTCAGTTTTTTTTTATCATTTTAGAAATATTTGAGCCCCTGGGAGTAAAAAAATGCGAAAATATACATGTTAAGGACTATCATTATATATATATATATATATATATATATATATATATATATATTAGGGCTGGTCGATTTAAAGGTCACTAAGGCACATATGATTTTTGTATACTAGGGATCAAAATATCAAAATAAGATACTTTGCTAAAGAAACCATACCTCTGAAATAAATTCTGATGTCCTTAGCGACTTTTTTGACCCATACAAATCGACCCGCTCTAATATATATATATATATATATATATATATATATATATATATATATATATATATATTAGGGTGGTCCTTAAAATGGTCATTTTCGAATTTCCTTGCTTCCAGGGGCTCAAATGGTTCCAAATTGATGAAAAACAATTCTCTGAAAGTTTTAGCTCTTAATATTAACGTTTAGATAGAACGCAATTCAATCAAACTTCGTATGGAAAGAGCATGGAAAAATTTTTAAAAATTAAAAAAAAAATGTTTTAGGTATAACTTAGCGACAAATGAATGAGTTTTATTCATTCTTTTGTTTGCTAAATTATATCTAAAAAACATTTTTAAAATTTTTGAAAATTTTTTCATGCTATTTTCATACAAAACTTTGATTGAATTGCGCTCTATCTAAAAGACAATATTAAGAGCTAAAACTTTCAGAGAATTGTTTATTATCTACTTGGAACTACTTGAGCCTCTGGGAGCAAGGAAATTCGAAAATGTCTATATTAAGGACCACCCTAATAAATATATATATATATATATATATATATATATATATATATATATATATATATATATATATATATATATATATATATGTATAATGCATGAATACACATTTACAAACTTTAGCATACTGTTCAAGATTTGAATTTACGATATAAATAAAAATGTGGTGCACCTTCAAAAATGTCATTTCCCATGATATGAACAGTTGAGGCGGATTTTATCCTATGTCCGTTAATCTAAGTTATGAATACAAAATGGTGTAAGGGTCAAACGTCTTCATGTTTGCGTTTGTAACTTTAACTTTGTCGTCCACTCAGATCTTCACTATCATAATGTTATGATGACAGATCTGAGCGGGCCGTTCTTCCCCGGAGGTCCGGAATTGTGGCACCACCCGTTGGCGTACAGCGCCGCGGCGGAGCTTCCCGGAGCAGCGCTGCAGCACCATGCCGCCCTCGTCCATCCGGCGCTGCACCCACAGGTGCCAGTCCGCTCGTATCTTTGACTAGCTGCTGACAAACCGACGTCAGCCATGGAGCCGCAACATCATCATCACTTAGCTCATCACGTGAGTAGAACTAAGACTTTTATCGATATCCAAACAAATTTGCTTTTAATCATCTATAGGAATATTTAGTAATCGGTAGAAATGTGCAGTAATCCATGAACATTTATAGCAATTTATGATTTTTTTAGTTATTTACTGATGTTTCCTACCACATGTATAAATCTACAAAAGAACTTTATAGAAGTTGAAAAGTCAATAGAAGTTACTAATTTACATCAGTCTTTGACAATCTATAAAAATTTATTGCCATCCATAGAAATTGTAGTATAGCATTGTCTGGCCATACATACATACTTGTTTTTGAATTTTAAATGAGTAATTTTAAATGATCCTAAAGTGAAAATGTCGGAAAATATTCAAAATATTTTAGACACTTATCCAACTTAGGGAATCTTATATGAAATTAATAAGTCTATTATCAAATAAGCTTTTTTCTTATCTTGTTAGTTTTTAACTTCCCGTATGGCAAGTTATAGTAATCGCAAAAAAATCGAAAATGAAAATTTTACGTTTTACGTTTCAAACGTTTCTGAACATTATGGCATACCTTAGAAAAAATGGATGTATGTGTGTGTGTATGTGCGTGTATGTGTGCGTGTGAGGATACAAATTTTTGTCGACGATTTCGGGAACACGGATGAAGCGATTTGAATAATTCAAAAAACATTCGATTCGTATGGATAAGGAGACGTGCTGATTAGTTTTTGACGAAGGCAGGCCTAGCCGTTCCGAAGATATGGGGCAAAAAGTGCCAAAAACAGTAACTCAGTTTTAATTATGTCCGATTTGAATAATTCTAAAAACATTTTACTTGTATTAACAAGATGAAGAACTGATCAAATTTTCGTGAAGGCAGGTCTAGCGGTTTCGGAAATCTAGTAAAAAAAGTAAAAAAAAATGCCATTTGGCAGACAAAAGTGATCATTAGACATATGCACATCAAATTATTAGATATTTTATAGATATTTTAACAATAAGTATAAATTTTGTTTACATTCCTATGGGTTCCGTACCAATGTTTATCCGTTAGACGGCGACGCGGCGCTTACGCGCTTCGATATTTCGTCTCTATGTAGTTAAAACAGTACGATTGCTTTGAAAAGAAGTTCAGAATTTCCAAAATATTTCAAAATAATTTTTTCTTCAAAAAGTCTTTTTTTTTTTAAAAAAAAAAGTAAATTTTTGTAAAAAGGATATAGTTTCTCAAAAATCTAATTTTTTCAGAGTAATTTTTTTTTCAAAAATGTTAATCTTTAAAAAAAAAATATTTTTGGTACGAGAAGTTCCAGCAATTTACCTTAAGGCACGATGCCTTGCGCCCCACTAGTTGTTTATTGTAATCGTGGTTTCAAACATGTGGGGCGCGTCTCGTCCGTCGAACGCAAGGCTGTTGCAAGAGGGGCGTACAGATTTCCAAAATACTATTTTCAAAAACAAACCAAAAATATTGAAATTATATAAAAAATCAATGATTAAGTAAATTATGCTTTATGCATGTTTTTACTTAAATTTAACTTCAAGCCTTGCATGTTTTGGTAATTTAATGTATTTTGCTCAATAGATTTTTTTGACACTTTTATATTCGGCGTTTTGTAAAATACAAGCAAATAATTGAACAGTAAATTTCACCCTTTTTGTAGAGCGCTACCTCCACTATACTCACCCCTCCCTCCCCCCGATTTTAATGTTTCATAAAACATTCGATTCCTTTTGATAGAGAGATGTGCTGACTAGTTTTTGGCAAAGGCCAAAGAAAAAAATTGTTTTGTATATCGAAAATAATTCAGATTTTAATTTTAATGTAATGTAATTTTAATTCTTGCTAAAGTTCAAAAGCTCACTTATATACTTTAAATAAATAATTTCAATTTTGCAATTCATTTTTTATAATTCTTATAAATATTAGAATATGTTACAGTATTTATAATAATCAATTTGAAAACATTTAATATTCCTTGAACATTTCGTTACGGTACGGGAAGTTCTAGCAATTTGTCTTAAGGCACGATGCCATACACCATTAGCTAATTTTTGCTCTCGCCTTATTTTTTCTAACAATCTAGTTTCATAAATACTGAACTGATATAAATTATTTTTCAGACATTAAATTATTATATTGTATATTAATTTATTGCAAATTAATATATTATATACTAGATGACCCGACAGACGTTGTCCTGTACCCATGTCTATAATTTTTTAATATAATATACTAATATTTACCGTTTACCTAAAAATAATAATTATTGTTGTTCAAATTACTCTTCACGCCAAAATGCATATATATTTATAATATGAGCGATGTTAATGTAGAACTGCTTTAAGCACTGACATGTCGTTTTTTGCCTTTGTTTCATTTATTTCTACAATTTTGCAGATATACAGTACTTTATAATCACATACATCCTAGAAAATTTCCTTAACAAACTTCAGAAAGATTTATCAAAATCCGCATAATCGTTTAGAAGGAGTATACAGTGAGTTCTTGTAATTTAATATGAACTTTATATAATAGCAATAAAGCTCAAATTGATTCTACGTTTTAGTTAGAAAACATTTGTATGAGAAAAAGAAAAGGGCTGTTTTTAGTGTTTTCCTGGCAATTATTCGATTCTTTTCACCGTAAGAACCATCTTTAGACTTCAACAAACAGTTTAAAAAAAGAATTGGCCAAATTGGTCCAGGCGTTATTGAGTTATGCGCTTACCAACACATTTTGCGATTCATTTTTATATACTCGTATAAGATTAATTTCAGCCTGCAAAATAAATTATAATATCAGTTCAATATTTATGAAACTAAATTATTAGAAACATTAAGGCGGAAGCAACAATAAAAAAGGGAGGTAATCTAATGTCTAATCATTTGCTTGCATTTTCCAATGTGTCGAATATAAAAGTGTCAAAATAGTAAATTGAGCGAAATACATTAACCGTACTAAAAATTGCAAGACTTAACGTAAATTGTTTCGCTCATTTATTTTAAGTAATATACAAAGATAAAATAAGTATAAATAGATCGCAGTATAGCCGTTTAACCATTACTTCAATTTTGATTATTTTTTGCACCACATAGGGGCGCCACTAACTGTAGCACGTAAATTTACCTCTCGGTTTAATTCTAGATTAGATTTATATAAATATATAATGTGGGGAAAGTGAACCTGATTAATTGGAATTAATGAATTGAGAACAAAACGATAAACAAAACCTGAGATGCGAAAAAAAAGCTTATTCAACGCGTATAAAATATATTTTCTACTAAGTCACAAAGATGTTTTCGCAAAAAAATAGAATTGAAAAATTTGAAACGTACGTACGTGGATCATAATAAGAGAATTAGCTTTTTAAAATGAGTAATAAATTTGAGCACAATAGACTCCGTGCTCTCTGTTGAGTACGGAAAACACTAAAAGAAGGTAAAGCACAATTGTTCTGTATTTACTCCCTATGACAGTAAGAATAGATCCATAAATGAAGAAATAGTTTCAGGAAATTATGCTTGCCAAAATGGATTATTATAATTTTTATTGATTTTATATTATAATTGCAATTGAGATTATATTAATATTATTATCTAGACGCAGATATCATTACCGCATCCGACGGCTCTGACATCAATTCACGCGTCGTTGCCGCACTTTCTGCCATCTCCGGCGCTGGCGTCGCCCGTCGGCTCCTGCGGCTCCCAGCCGGCGGTCGCCTCCAACGCTCCCTGCTCAACTCTATTCGTTGCAAATCTCGGGCAGTTCGTATCGGAGCATGAACTCAAAGAGATATTCAGCAGGTATGCTTTAATAAATGACCATTCAGATTGTGCATGACATACTGTCGATTAGAGATCGAGGATCCAGAGACGCCAGGCTACTAATTTTACACCTATTTTTAATTGGTTCACATATTTTAAATATACGGTCTATAGCAAATGTCTTTCGAATTGGAAGGTAATATGAATATTTACAGAGTTCTTGCCGGATAGTTTTGGATTATTTTGTTTACTGTAATTTGAATGAATTTTACTTCCTAATTTCGGGTAGTAACGTTGTTTAGAAATTAAGTAACGTATGGCGACTCTGGATTTTCAATCTTATAGGTTTATAGGGATGCTTTATCTAGAAAGCATTGAGAATTAGATTTTTAGTTTGTCTGATCCAATATATTCTAAACTTCCTGTAATAAAATCAAAATTTGTGTCGCGTATACTTTTTATTACCTATTTGTAGCTTAATATTATTATAAATTAATCTAAAAGTATTTATCAGTAAAATACAATACTTACTAAAAAACTGTATGAAATTATGTAAAATCATGTGCGTTCATTTATTCCTCCATATAAAATATTGGATATCAAATGATAAAATTTGTGACGTCTTGGATTTAAATGAACAAGATCAAAAGCTTCAAGGCGAATAATGTTGTATACATAACCCCGTCATTTTAATCGAATATCATACCGCGTCATGCCAACTTCATCATCTAAACTAACGCTTTATCATTTTGCTTCAATCATATCGCGTTGTATCAAAAGAATATCAACTTATCTCATCTCAATCAAAACGTAAATTATCAAGTCAAAATGATACCAAATCGATTCGTGAGAATCTAATATCAACTCTCGTTATAACAACTTGTTTTCAAATCGTTCCGTATCATCTCAGTCAGAATTCAGTTAGCATTTGATTATTGAATAAAAACTCAGTTGATAAATCGAATCATAACGTCTCTGCTAACATAACTTTTATATTGCTATAAATTGAAATTTAAAATTATTTTATTTGCTTTCATATATGATTTGGGTATTGATTGATCTAATATCGTATGTTCACAATATTATATCTTTATTTCCACAGACACTGAAAGTTGCTGGAAATCGCCAAATGCGTGCACAGATAATGAAGGGAGATGCCAATTATTTCTTATTACGCATGCGTATGATGGTTTCCAATCAGCCTCAGTGTTTATAGAAACGAATTTTTTACTAATCAACAATCCAACAGAATACATACAAGTTTTTACGTTAATGCGTGATTGCAAGTAAAACATTTTTTTAATAAAACACAAATTATAAATGCACTTATATATTTAATGCATTAAATATTCCTTTATCTTCGCATAGCATGAAACCAATGTCAATTTCTTCCATGCACAACACATTTCTTCACGCAACTTATTTATTTTGTGTTCATACCTATTAGATCATATCTGCACTCCGAATTTCTATGGCCGATTATAAAGAAGTATGTCTCCTAAAATGTAACTAAAATATTACTTTCTTTTTGAAACAATTATTTTGAAGCTTCAGATGCACGACATCATTTTGCTAGGCCAATTGGTCACAGCGCACTTAATTACAGATTCTTGAAATTTCTAGAATCAAATTATTAGAAAAAATACTTTATGTACAACTAATATTATTTTATAAAATTAAGTGACCAATTTATATAATTATTCTTGTTTTGTCCGTCATTTAATGTTATTCGCTGCTTGATAAATTTTAAATGGTTTGGCTCTTATCTGAAACGGTATAAATATATATACCGTAACGGTAGAAATATATTTGTTAATGAAAAGTTTGTTTACCAAATATACTAATGTAAAAACGTAAAAGATGAATGTTTACTAAATTTTTAGATTTCATATAATTATTAATATATATTTTATATAACAATTTTTGATAGCGAATGCACCAAAAACGTGATACCTGTACGATTGTTCTAAAAAATTGAAAAAAAAGATGTCGTATATCAGTTGCCCAGACTACATTTGCAAAGATTCATTTAATATTTTTCAGTATAAAAATATAGATTTGATTTTAATGAACGCGCGGTTGTATATTTAGTTTGCAATAATCATATTTTGCAGTATTATTTTTGCGGTATATTAGAATTTATTTAACAATAATTAGAATTTTTATGATATCAGCTAGGAAAAATTTCCCATTATCCAGCCTAAGATTGTTGAACAGCATATCTTGGGCTGTGTAAAATATGAAATCAGCCAGAAACATTTGTAGTAGAACCCTTTCGTGTTATTGTTGTCGGCACAGTTTCCCTGGCTTCTGTCGCCTGCGCATGCTGCACTCTAAAGGAAGCCAATCCAGCACAGCATCAGCAACCGGCAACTCGACGTCGGCGGCCGGCAACGGCGCCTGTGCGACTAACGGACAACTGGTCGGCACTGCTGCCGGCGCGCCCGTCGCATTTGTCGAGTACCGCGACGTGGCGGGTGCCGCCAGCGCCATGCAAGCGCTGCAGGGATCGTTTTTATTGTCGAGCGACCGTGGCGCCATCCGCATTGAGTATGCCAAGTCCAAGATGGCAACCGAAGCAGGCCTGTGCGCCGCGGCCGCCGCCGGCACGCACTGGGAGCACGACGATGTAGGTACCACGCTCCAGCACCACATCACCACGCACACCGGGGACGTTCGTACACTAGAAACTAGATGATCTCATTTGGTCAAACTCAAAGGGTTCTATGCGTGTTTCCATACAGATTTTGATGCCATTTTATAGGTATTTTTGAGAAAATTTGAAATACCAAATTTCAAATCCGTAGCTCATCATTTGGCCGAGATATCAGTGAAAACATGTGAAAGTGGCCCCTTTTTTCAAACTCACTCTTTGTCGGAAATATGAGAGATATCGACAAACTGTTAACGTCATTGCTCACTGGGACATTTCCCATAAATGTAAATTTGGGTTTATATTGAAACACACTTTGTAATTCAATAATTTATTTCACTTATTAGTAAGAATTTATAATATTATTTTAGTTTACTTTTGACTGGTTTCGCGAGTCGGGCGGTTAATTATAATAACAAACTTAAAAGAATTGTGACTGCTTTCGCTCGTCAAGCGGGTACTTTTTATGTGCTTTCTTGGTGACGCTTAAACTTGTACTCCTTTAAATTATACCTAATATTTTGGGTAAATATTTTTTATTGCCCTGTATGAAGCGAACAGCTTTCTGCGTTGTTGCATTTTGTACATTGGAGCTGCAATTCGCTCCACTCACAGAGATATATTTTTCAATATACTTTTAATATATGAAAAATATTGAAATCTTAAGTTTTTCATACATTATATACTAATTATATATTAGTCACAAGCTTATACGGCGAATGAAAATAATCAATAATAATAATTATTATTTTTATTCGACGCTTTGGATTTTTATTATGACTAATGAATATACTTATATACAAGATATAAATAAATTTTGGTTTCTAATAAATATTTCCATACTTATATACATAATTTGTCGAGACGCGCGAAAACGACAAGCCTTATGCTTGCTCGTCGCTCTTGCAAAGCGACTTTATATGGGTGTTCTTGAACCGGCAGCGCGTGTGCTAGCTTAAGTTTTTCCAACTTTTATCCCAAAGTTCCACTTAGATTTAAATGAACTTTTGAATAATAGAAGACAAATGTACAGGCTTTCGAATGATGCTAATATAAAAGTAGTCAAAAAAGCCGCACTGGTAGAAAATGAAAAATGAAAAATCATTTTCACCTTTTCACGCACTAACAAATAATTTTTTCACATTATTTGTTATGAACAACATAGACAAGATCAGTACAAATAGAACGACGTTAACAGTTTGTCGATATCTCTCATATTTCCGACAAAGAGTGAGTTTGAAAAAAGGGGCCACTTTCACATGTTTTCACTGATATCTCGGCCAAATGATGAGCTACGGATTTGAAATTTGGTATTTCGAATTTTCTCAAAAATACCTATAAAATGGCATCAAAATTATTCAAATACCAGGGTGGGGCCAATTCTGTATGGAAACAGGCCCAAACCCTTTGATGTCAACGTCACGATATTGATTGCTTAATGGAATAGTTTTATTGCAAAATTCGGAATTCAAAAGTTTTGAAGCGTTTATCAAATTGGGAGTGCGTGAAATTGATTGACTTTACTATGGGGCCAATTTTCCAGTAAAATAGACTGTAGCTTAGCGTTGTAATTATGGCAACGCTATGTTACGCTGCTTTCTAGGTACTAATAACCAAAATGCCATGTATCTGCATTGCAGTCAGACGTTTTACACATAAAATTTAACTTCACACATGTGTTATTATGACACATCATAAAGATACAGTTATGATAGTATTCTTTTTTTAACGTTTGTGCATTTTCTAGATTGGATTTTATATCTAAAACGTCTAACTACACAGAAAATACATAGCATTTCGACAGTTTTTAGTATCAAGAAAGCAGCGTAACATAGCGTTGCCATAACAACGCCATGTTACAGTCTATTTTACCGGAAAATTTTACTGGCCTTTGTATTTGCAAAGTGATCAACGAAGCAACTGGTGTACTTATCGTCTTGTGGTCTTATTCATGTCAACTTCTATTAAAGCTTGAACTCTGAAACATTTAAAGCCTTCTCAATTGTTGTTCCAGAAAACGTAGAAGTAGATAAATTAATCAAAGCATCTAACTAACCAATAAATTTATGAATAAGACCATTTGCTTGTAACACTTCACACTTCACATTCTCCAACCTGCACACTTCCAACAAATTGCATGTGAAGACACACATCAAATTGACATTAAATCCTTTTGTATATTAGATTGCATAAATTGTATATAATGATATTTTAAACACATAATAACATATAATTTTCAATCGGAAAAATGAATGGAATCGTGAAAATTATGAATA